ACGCCCACAGCCCCTGCACCCCCAGAGCCGACACCACCAGCTCCTGCAGCCCCAGTACCCTCACCCTCCGCAAGTGCACCTCCCACACCCCCAGACACGACAGGGACTGGACGCTGCGGGGGGGAAGACTGCGGAGTGACGTGCGACACACCTGACGCGGCAGGACGCGAGGGGGGGGGGGGCTACCAGGGCGACCGGTGGGGGTTCAAGGGTGAGGAACAGCAGGGGGGAATAGGCCTCAGTACTTTGGTGGGGGCGACTCCTGTAGTAACAGACAGACTCGTCGAACGTGACGTCCTGAGAAGCGAAGAACTGGTAGGTGAGTGGGTCGTAGAACACCCAGCCGGACGCGTCCAACGGGAAGCCAAGAAAGACGCATGCACGAGTGCGTGGAGACAACTTGTTCGCGCCAGGGGCGCGAACGTGAGCCAGAGAACCCCAGACACGGAAGTCAGCTGCTACGCTCGGAGAACCTGTCCAAAGGGAGACCGGCGCCACCCGTGGCCGTGCGTCACTGGGCCACAGGTTCAGCTGGTGCGCGGCGTAGCGTACTGCCTGAGGCCACAAGAACTAGGGGGCACCGGCATGGCACATGGAGGTCCGGGCAACCTCCATGACCAGGCCGATGCGTCGCTCGGCTACCCCGTTCTGCTGCGCTGAGGCTGGTAGCGTGTAAGACTGGATGATCCCCCGATCTTGACAGAACGTCTCCAGGCGAGTGGAAGAAAACTCACCACCACGATCCGAGTGTAGGCGAAGCCCACACAGGCCCTGGGCGCCACCCCACGCTAGTAGCCACGGCTCGAGGACGGTAGGCACGTCGGCCTTCCGTCGCAAGAGGAAAACCGTGGCGTAGCGGGAGTAGTCGTCCACCACAATCAGGACGTAGCGCTCCTGACGTGGCCCAAGGACCGGGGAGGGGCCCCAGACGTCCAAGTGTAGGGTCTTGAAGGGAGCCGTGGTGGGGGGGAACGAGGAGGAGTGAGGGGCAGCGCGCTGCCGACCCTCGACGCAAGGAGTGCACAGCGGCGCAGGCGAGCGGGGAAGCGGTGCAAGCGACTCTGGGAGACCTGAGACCAGACGGTAATGTGCCATCCTACTGAGACGCGGAAACGACGGGTGACCTAGACGGTGGTGCCAGAGGATCAACGGGTGGGTGAGGGACCGACAGTCACACGACACAGAAGCTACCTGACCTGACCTGACCAAATGTGGTGGGACCTAGTGTGTAGTGAGTACAGACCAGAGCCCGGCTCCCTGTGAAAAGTGGCCAGAGGGGCCCCAGTGGTACCGACTGTGCAGGAGGCAACAGGCTCGTCGACTGGGAAAGTAGTGACTACACCTAAGTCGTGGAGGTGAATGACACCCACTAGGTTCCTGGAGAACGAGGGGGTGTAGTAACCTGTGAGGAACCCAGAGGGAGCCGCCGGACAAGGGAGAGTGGTGGTGCTGCGGGCAACTACAGGTCCCACAGAGGGGTCAGCCAAGGCGACAGTGACTGGAGAGCGCAGTGGTGTGAGGTCAGTACAGTCGCGAAAGAAACAGCTGGACGCTCCAGAGTCTAGGGTGAAGGAAAGCTGTGCAGTCTGTGAGGTCGCACCTGAGCCAGCTACAAAGGCTGGTAGACTAGTGGTAGCTGCAGCTCTTACAGAAAGACCCTCAGAGGCGCCTGGACTGGAAACAACACACGCACCAAGACTGGAAACACATGTCTCTACTCGTGCAGTCGGGAACGGTCCTAGACCAGGTAGGTGAGACTCAACTGGTGCAGTAGTTCCCTGCCGAAGTCGCGAGGGCCAGTGCGGTGTAATAGCGTGAGGACCAGAACGCTCACGGTGGAGGTCATCGAGTCGACAGTAGCAACTGGACGCAGAGTGGTCAGGACTCCAACAGGTGGTGCCAGCACCAGGGCCTGTCAAGGCCCAGTACCCGCAGGGGCCGACGTCTCGCCCACTGCTAGCTGAGCCACTGCTGGGGGCTCCACCCTTTGGACCTGCAGGTCCCCACTGCCGGGAGTGCTGCGGCTGGCTCTACTGCTGTAGAACTCTAGTACACGCCATGTGAGCCTATGCTGCTGCTGGTTCTGCTGGGGGCAGCCTAAGCTGCTGCTGGTTCTGCTGGGGGCAGCCTAATCAGCTGCTGGTGCACTGGGGCAGCCTAAGCTGCTGATGGTGCGCTGGCGGTAGCCTAAGCTGGTGCTCGAGCGCTGGGGCAGCCTATGCTGCTTCTGGTTTTGCTGGGGGCAGCCTAAACTGCTGCTACTGGTGGGACAGCGGGTGCGGTTTGGTGCGATTCTATGCAATTCAGTGCGGTTGTGCGCGGTTCTGTGCGGTTCTGTGCCGTTCTGCGGGGTGGAGAGTACCGGGTGGGGCAGCTGATTCTGGGTGAGGTGACTGGAACAGGTGGGGCAGCAGCTCTGGCTGGAACGAGTGGGGCAGCGGGTGCGGTTCTGTGCAGTTCTGTGCAGTTCAGTGCGGTTCTGCGCGGTTCTGTGCGGTTCTGTGCAGCTCAGTGCGGTTCTGCGCGGTTATGTGCGGTTCTGTGCGGTTCCGCGGGGTGGAGAGTACCGGGTGGGGAGGCTGATTTCGGGTGAGGTGACTAGAACGGGTGGGGCAGCAGCTCTGGCTGGAACGGGTGGGGCAGCGGGTGCGGTTCTGTGCGGTTCTGTGCAGTTCAGCGCGGTTCTGCGCGGTTCTGTGTGGTTCTGTGCGGTTCTGCGGGGTGGAGAGTACCGGGTGGGGAGGCTGATTTCGGGTGAGGTGACTAGAACGGGTGGGGCAGCAGCTCTGGCTGGAACGGTGGGGCAGCGGGTGTGGTTCTGTGCGGTTCTATGCAGTTCAGTCCGATTTCTGGTGTGGCGGCGGATTTCTGATCGTGGGGCGGCAGATCGCGGGTGAGGCGACGGCTAAGAGACCGGGCGGCGGGTAAGGCAACGGGTGGGGCCGCGTCTAACGGGTGGGGCGGCGGTTATGACGGTGGGAAACAGGTGGGGCGACGGGTCGCTCGTGCGCGCGGCTGCTGCTGTGCGTGCGTGCGACTAACTACGGGGCCGCGGGGCCCACTAGCAAAGGAGCCTCGGGGCCCACGAACGAAGGGCCGCGGGGCCCGCTAACGAAGGTCCGCGGGGCCCGCTAACGAACAGCCGCGACGGGTGACGGGCGACGGGGAAAAAAAAAGGAAGCGGCCGCGATCGACGGGGTAAAACGGGCGACGGGCGGCTGGCGACGGGCGACTGGCGACCGGGGGGGGGGGGTCTACAGGCAACGGGGCTAAGGTAAGCGCGCTACGGGCGGTCTAGGACGGGGCGCGACTAGGTGGGCCCATGATAGTCGAGTGATTTTTCCTAAGGGGAAAATCTCGCTAGGGTAAACCTAGCTCTCCCCGTATTCCTCTCCGTATTTTCTCCTCCCGCGTCCCTCTGCAGCTCTCCCTTGCAGCCCGTCAGTGCGGCAACAACACACCAGTTTGCCTAATAAGTACGATTTATGATAGGGATGTTTCTTTTCCGTTCCCTTTCCTTTCCCCTCGCCGAGCAAAGTTTCGCGTATTCTAGTTTCCATCCCGTCAGCTCAGCACCAGTCGCACATCTTAGTAAGCACGATCTAAGATACAGGTACTCATTTGCCATTCCTTTTCCTTTCCCCTTGCAGCCAAACTTCCGCGTCGTTCCGTGCAGCCTCTAGTCGTCCCGCATTCCCCTCGTCGCGCAGCCTCGCCGATCATCTCTTTCCCCTGTCGCCATGGTGCCTCGCGGGCCGCAGTCTGCCCGTGAAGCTAGCATGGCCGCGGTCGTCGCTGGCCGCGGCGCTCTCTTTAGGCTCTAGTGATAGTGAAGAGGATGATGATGATGATGATGATGAAGAGGATGAGGATATGTTTAATTGGATTTCCTGAAAACGTTTGTTATATCAATGCAGATTTTGTTTGAAATGGTTTAGTCTTCATCAAATAGTGACGCTGATCGTTCAGTTTTTTTTGTCATATGCACCCTGAAAATTCCGTTTTTTTTTTTTTTACAACAAACACTTGACTGATCAGCCATGAACACACTCCTAAGAGCGTGTTCCTACGGGCCCGTATCAGGCCAGCCCCGTAGGAACACGCTCTAAGGTTGACCAGTCAGCCTAAGCCAAAACGAATCTGAGGCCCTGCCCTTGACCAGTCACAGCGTTGCCGGAAATCCTTGACCAGTCACAACGCATTCGCCTCTGACAGCAAAATCCTTCCCTCATGCAACAAATTTGCCCCCTGACGCAGCAAATTCGCCCCCTGACGCAACAAATTCGCCCCTTGACGCAGCAAATTCGCCCCTTGACGCAGCAAATTCGCCCCCTGGCGCAGCAGATTCACCCCGTCTATGCGAATTCACCCCCAGACAGTCCAATTACGCATCATAACATGTTTCGGTTTAACTTGTTGACTAAAAATCTACATGTAAACCCCCCTATAAAGGAAGGGGGGGGATCTTATATTGTTCACCCCTCAAAAGGGGGGTATAACGATTTCGAGGCTTAATAAACACTCCCCCCCGTATTAGCTACCCGGGGGTGTTATATTTTGGGGTTTTTTATATCCCGGGGAATACGGTACCCAACTTTCTCGATACTTCAACAACCTTTCCTCCCCTTACTCTCGACAGGTCGCTGTAAGGAATGTCAAGAAAATTCCTTACCCTAGGGCAAACCAGCTGAAATGGCTTGGATTCGCGTTGCACCCGATGCACTACAAAATGGATAAGGAATATCATAACACAGAAAACATGCTATCAAGTCTCTATGCATTCACCGCTGCAAGTTCTCTTATTGTACATTCAACTTGTCTCATGGTAATGAAGCCTACTCTGACATTTGGAAATGGCTTTTCTGCTGGGAGATTCTCTAGCTGGTGAATGTGACTTGGAAGGAATCCTTTGTGAATGTCGTATCTGCACAAGCTCGGCTACACAGGTCGACATGCCAACTCTATGATTGGATTCAATGATCAAGCATTCAGCTGCCAACTCAGCAGCTCTGCAAATGTCCTCCAAAGAGATGTGTCCCTGCAAATATTGTTAACATCATTAGGGTCATCTCTTTCCCATACCAGAAACCATTGCACTCATACCTGCATCCTTGGATCTATGTACGTCAGCAGAGTTTGAGTGTCGTTGAGCATGGGCTTAAAAAAATCGGCGAGGAGGGATTCGTGTGACCCTCTTGACGTATCCAGAGCCTTTCGTCCCGTCAGCAACTCCAACAGCAAAACTCCAAACGAATAAACGTCTGAGCTGCACTCAGAAGGCTGAAGTGGGCCATGGCCTCGAACAATCTGCTCAGGAGCTGGGTGATAAAGCTGAAATACGTTAGATCAATCATGCAGACTAAAAGAGGCCCATCGTACTATAAATGAATTACCTGAATAACCTGACATCTTGATGGAATGAATCAGGATCTTCTGTGAAGCTTCTTCTGGTATAAGCAAGTGCTCGCCGTATCCAGAAAGCTTTGCAGTACCATTCTCATCCAGCAGAACACGAGTCGAGTCAAGCATACCATGAGGTAATGAAGGAACTCTCTGCAAGTTTCACGTTAGTCGCACCAAGTCGTCATACTTGCATGCCACTAGACCTGAAAAGACTCACCTGATGAAGGTGATTCATGCCTCTGGCTACACCAAGGGCGACTTGGACCCGGCACTTCCAGTCAAGGTCTAACGACTTCTTTGAGCTTCCATGGAGGTGTTCATGTAAAGAGCCTGTCACAGGGACGGCGTCATTGATCGAGTGTTAACAAAAATGGTCCAGGAGATTGATAAACTTACCCATTGCGATCCTTTCAAAAACAAGCACCCTCTCTTTTGTGGCCGTCGAGAACCCAATTAACCTGACAAGGTTAGGATGCATCGTTCCAGCCGCGACTTTCTTGACAGCCGATTCAAAGTCCTCAGCGCTTCTATTCTGGACAATGTTTCGGTGGAGTCGCCTGACGACCATGTCGTTCATGTTAGGCTTCCGGTACATATAATACGAAGAGAAGCGTCCCTTCTTGATCAAAGCGGACCGGTCGAAATTTTGTGTCCCTTCGAGAATTTCTTGCATCGAAAAGCGCAATGGATAAGTGCCTTGCGATGACAACTTTTCCGCATCGTGAGTGGCATGCTTCAACTTTCGGAAGCACAAAAAGAATAATATTGAGATTATTAGCAGCAGCAGGATTGCAAACACCGCAATGGTTCCAGAGACCAACCAATACACGTATTGTGGCATAAACAGGTCCTCCGGCTGGCTAGGAGCATCGGCTCCGGCTACGGAACCCTCCCACATATCGAAACAGAAAGCATGGAGGGTGCTGCTTGCAGTTTATGCGTTTAAGAGAAATGAACACACAAAACAGAAATAGGACCACCATAGAGCGAAGCCGGTGCTTTTTCTTTGGCCAGTTCTGCCCCTCTCTCACAAAAATTCCGCGTTATAGATGGAGAATTGGAACGACCACTAAAACATCAAACTGCTGCAACACTCACCCTAAACTGGTTCAAAGGATTGCTTAATAGGGTTCTCAAGCTTCGAACGATTACACTCAAATAAGACTTTATATCAACACGCAATTTTTTGTTGTCCAATTTGAAGAAATCATATTTTCTATGCAAGTGTATCTTCGCTTCGCGCGCGCATATTTGTGTTGTATATGAGTATTTGCATGTGTGCCAGGGCTGATTTTATCAGGGTAATTACCCTAATTTCAGGGTGATTTCAGACTTGTCACATTCTGGTCCCTGTAATTTCAGGTTTATCGTCTTCTGAACACTGATCTTGTCAGAGTAGTACTTTAGCGAACCCTGGAATTTTGTATACACTCACAGAGTAGTGTTCTTAAGTGTCAAATGTTGTAGCCTGTAGTGAGGTTTGTCTTAGGGGGTACAGAAGTTAGGGTTTGTCATATGTACCCCAACCAACATCAATGCAACATCCATTCCTCATTTTGACATGGTATCAGCTAGGTTAGGATCCTGTGGGATCCCGTTCCTCCGTTCTCCGTTCGTACCTCCCGAGCCTGATCCTACCTCTCGTTCGTACCAGTTTAGTTGTTACCGCGCCTAGTACCGAGCCTAGCATCATCTCCCCCGTCGCGTCGCGCCCGTTCCCCCCGTCGCGTCGCGCCCGTTCCCCCCGTCGCGTCGCGCCCGTTCCCCCCGTCGCGTCGCGCCTGTTCCCCCCGTCGCGTCGCGCCCGCCTGTTCCCCCCCTGTCCCGTCGCGTCGCCCTGCCCTGTCCCGTCGCCCTGTCCCGTCGCGTCGCCCTGTCCCGTCCCGTCGCGTCGCCCTGTCCCGTCGCGTCGCCCTGTCCCGTCCCGTCGCGTCGCCCTGTCCCGTCCCATCCCGTCCCGTCGCCCTGTCCCGTCGCGTCGCCCTACCCCGTCGCGTCGCCCTGCCCTGTCCCGTCGCCCTGCTCCGTCGCGCCGCCCTGCCCCGTCGCGTCGCCCTGTCCCGTCGCGTCGCCCTCCCCGTCGCGTCGCTCCCGCCCTTTCCCCCGTCGCGTCGCCCTCCCTAGGCCCTAGCCCGTCGCCCTCCCTAGGCCCTGGCCCGTCGCCCTCCCTAGGCTCTGGCCCGTCGCCCTACCCTAGGCCCTGGCCCGTTGCCCTACCCTACGTTTTGGCCCGTCGCCCTAGCCCGCTCTTCCGCTGCGACTGAGTCCTCTTCCCCCCCGGTTGTTACTCGCCTGTTCGTTCGCTTTAGTTCTCACTATGGCGACTCCGCGAGTTCTTCGTTTCGACGCTGACGGTAGACCCCTTGACTTTTCCGTCTGGCTTCTTCGCGCTCGTCGTCTGTTAGAGAGTCAGGTCCAGGGGGGCGAGACCCTCTGGTCACACGCTACTGGTGACCTCCCCGAGCCCCCCGAGCCTACCGCTTTAGGCCCTGCTCCTGACGACGCTGCTACGGCTCGCTTTGCCCGTCAGCGCGCTGACCGGACGGCTTGGACGTCGCGTGACGCTGCGGCCTGCATCGCACTCAGCAGCCTCCTCCCTGAGTCCGAGGAGGTCCACTTTACTCAGGTTCGCACCGCTGCTGCGTACCTCACTGCGATTAAGGCCCGCTACTCTACTCCCGCTACTGTCTCTCTCGGCCGTCTTTTCCTCCCGTTCCTGTTTCCTGATCTTGCCTCGTTTGAGCGCTCTGCTGACTTGATCGCTCACCTCCGCTCGCTCGACGCTAGTTACCGCGCTGCTTGCACTGAGGCACAGCTTGCACTGCTTCCTCCCCCCATGGCGATTACTGTCTATTTCATCGCCACTAGCCTCCCTGACCGCCTTGCCTCCGTTCGTGACGCGCTTCTGCTGAAGCACCCTAGTGAGCTGACTATCGAGGTCCTTGAGTCTGCACTCAAGGACGTCGAGAGCAACCTTCGTTCGGTAGCTGCCGCCTCTGGTACTGTGTCCCCCCCACTCTTCCACGGGTGCACAGTCCCGCAGTTACCCACCTTCACTGCCTCTCTTGCCACTGCCGCTACTGACGCGACTGCGGCTGCTGTTACGACTGCGTCGCGGTCCCGCGGCAGGGGGGGCAAGAAAGGTGGTTCCGGTGGAGGTGGAGGCGGAGGTAGCGGAGGTAGTGGGGGTGCTGTTGCGACTGGCGGTGGTGGGAGTGCAGCGTCTGGAGAGACCCCTCGTGCAGCGGCTGGTGACTCCACTGCACCTGCTGGTGGCGGCGACCCTCGAGCTCGTCAGTCGCCTCCTGTACTGCCGGCCCCGCTAGGTGGAGCAGCGGCGTGGTACCAGGCTCAGCGTCAGCAGCACCTTCAGCAGCAGCAGCAGCCCCTTTCCTCCCAGCAGCCTCAGCAGCAGCAGCGTCAGCAGCTGGCTCCGGGGTCGGGGCTGCGTCAGCCCCAGCGCGGTGCTGCTTACCCTCCCTGCCCCTACCAGGTTCAGACAGGTCCTCGTCGGGGCCACCCTTGTGGCCGCTTTCACCCCCCTGGTCAGTGCTTTGCTCAGCTCACTGACACGGTCCGGTTGACCTACGGGGTTGGCGGTCCTGCTCCTGACTGGCTTCCTCTGGTTCAGCGCCACGGCTCCGCTCTGTGGGGCATGTCTGCTGAGCAGTTAGTTGATCTGATTAGTGCTCCTCATGCTATGTATGCTGTTGTTGACTCTAGTGTTTCTGACTCTGTTTACTCTGGTGTTGTTAGCTTAGGTGCTAGTCTTGCTCAGTTGCCTGTTGCTAGTGTAGGTACTTGTGTAGACTCTAGACCAGCGACTACCTCAGACGACGCTTCGCTGTCGTTCACACTGGACTCTGGAGCCTCCCACTGCTTCTTTCGGGACAGCACGACACTTACACCACTTCCTGCGCCTGTTTCTGTAGCGTTGGCTGATCCCACTACGGGACCAGTCACTGCACGTCACACTACCACTTTACCGTGTCCTGCTGCTCCCTCCGGGTCTCTCACTGGGTTTCACGTCCCCTCGTTCTCCCGGAACTTGGTGGGCGTGCGACCCCTCGTGAGTCAGCACGTGGGTGTGTGGTTTGAGCCTTCTGGAGAGACTGCGGTGTGTGTTGACGGAGACTCTTACCAGCCTCTTGCTACCTTTACTGCTGAGCCGGGCTCGGGTCTCTACACTCTTCACACTGGCCCGCGTGCGCCGCAGCAGCAGGCGCAGCAGCAGCAGCAGCCGCAGCAGCAGTAGCAGCAGCAGCCAGCAGCAGCAGCAGCAGCACCAGCGGCCGCACCAGCAGCCCCCCCTATTGCCACTGCCCCCGGTTCCCCCCCCCGTTCGGGTCCCCGCGTCTCACCAGGTTGCTACGTCCCCCCAGGTGTCTGTGTCGTGTCAGGTTCCTACGTCTGTTCCAGTCGCTGCGTCGTGCTCCTGCCGGTCGCTTGCCCACCCCACCGTTCTGTGGCACCACCGGATGGGGCACCCGTCCCTTCCACGTCTGCGCGCTATGTCTAGTCAGCGTCTTGTCCTAGGCCTCCCACGTGTCTTGCCGTCGCTGCCGCCTTCGCCTGCGCCGCCGTGTCGTCCCTGCGTCGAGGGTAGGCTGCGCGCCACCCCTCACTCCTCCTCCCTTCGTCCGGCCACCGAGCCTTTTGAGACGCTTCACTTGGACGTCTGGGGCCCAGCCCCTCGTCTAGGCCCTGAGCGTGAGCGTTACTTTCTGGTGGTAGTTGACGACTTCTCCCGCTACACCACAATGTTCCCTCTGGCGAAGAAGTCTGAGGTGACTTCTACGCTGATCAGGTGGTTGCTCACCACTGAGGACACTCGTGGTCGTCGTGTCAGCTGTCTCCACTCCGACCGTGGGGGTGAGTTTCGCTCCGGCATTCTCGCTGGATTCTGTCGCGAGCAGGGCATTCGTCAGTCCTGGACGCTTCCAGAGTCCCCACAGCAGAATGGGGTTGCTGAGCGCCGCATAGGCCTGGTCATGGAGATCGCCCGCACCTCCCTGACTCACGCCTGTGCCCCCCATTTTCTGTGGCCCTACGCGGTCAGGTACGCCGCGCACCAGCTGAACCTCTGGCCACGTGTCTCTCGACCAGAGGTTTCACCGACCAGTCTTTGGACAGGGTCCCCTGGTGTTGCGTCGCGGTTTCGTGTCTGGGGGTGCTTGGCTCTTGTCCGCGACACCTCCGCGGACAAGCTCTCGCCTCGTGCCGTCCCCTGTGTCTTCCTTGGTTTCCCTGAGGACTCCTCTGACTTCACCTTTTACCACCCTCCCTATCACCGGTTCTTTGACTCCCGTGACGTCCGTTTCGAGGAGTCCACTCCGTACTACGTCAGGTACCCCAGTCGAGGTCTCCCGGTTCCTCCTCCCCCCCTCTTCCTGACTGCCGTTCCCCCTCCTGCTCCCCCGGTACAGCCTCCCCCCCCTGGTCCAGCCCCGTCAGGTGTGTCCCAGGCTACCCCTCCTC